CACCCTGCAGACAGACCACCAACCAAACCCCGTTCAAAGTTTGTGTGTTTTAAGCAGGTTCACGGTGTCTGACCCCCCCACAGTCTGTTAGTGTGGACTCTGTGTGTTCTGGTCCGGTCTGTGGACCTGCAGTTAGAGGTCTGGGTCCAGGTCTTAGTTATCCCCTATACTGCAGTACAGTTTCTGACCCCCCCACAGCTTTTTCCTCACAGTGTCCGACCCTCCCCGTCTCCCAGCGTTGCCATGGCGACCTTCCCAGAGTACATCACTCAGAATGAGGACCGTGACGGCGTGCGGTTCAGCTGGAACGTGTGGCCGTCCAGCCGACTGGAGGCGACCCGGATGGTGGTCCCCGTGGCGTCCCTGTTCACGCCGCTGAAGGAGCGCCCGGACCTGCCCCCCATCCAGTACGAGCCGGTCCTCTGCAGCCGGGCCACCTGCCGCGCCGTGCTCAACCCGCTGTGGTACGTAACATTACACACCTGAGTGATGTCATAGTCAGGGTCAGAGGACAGGTAGAGCGGTTATTTACCTGTGTGTGTGTGTGTGTGTGTGTGTGTGTGTGTTTGTTACAGTCAGGTGGACTACAGAGCCAAACTGTGGGCGTGTAACTTCTGTTACCAGAGGAACCAGGTAAAACACACACACACAAAACTCATGTTCCTATAGATGTGAGGACTCACACACACACACACAAAACACATATTAGTATAGATGTGGGGACTAACACGTGCGCGCACACACACACACACACACAGCTGTGACTGGCTATCAAAGCGTGGACTTTATTGCCGTGATAATCTGTTATTTGATACATGAGTGTCCTTTCACATCCTGGTCCAGGTCTTATCTCTTGAGGGTTCAGGTTCGAGTCCACCTGGGAGTTCCATGATTTTAAAGATGGCGTTCCTCAGGATCAGCTGTTTTTCTCTCTGTATTTCAGTTTCCTCCGTCCTACGCCGGGATCTCTGAGGTGAACCAGCCCGCTGAGCTGCTGCCTCAGTTCTCCACCATCGAGTATGTGGTCCAGGTAAGACCGAGGGACAGGGTCAGACCGACCAGCAGGTGAAAAATGACCATGAATAACACACTGGGTGGGGGGGTCTCTGTCCTCAGCGAGGTCCTCAGATGCCGCTGATCTTCCTGTACGTGGTGGACACCTGTATGGAGGACGAGGACCTGCAGGCCCTGAAGGAGTCCCTGCAGATGTCCCTGTCCCTGCTGCCTCCCACCGCGCTGGTCGGTCTCATCACGTTCGGCCGCATGGTCCAGGTCCACGAGCTGGGCTGTGAGGGGATCTCCAAAAGCTACGTGTTCAGGGGGACCAAAGACCTGAACGCCAAACAGCTCCAGGTACCAAAACCCAGACCTGACCCCCTTTGAAGTCATGTTCTGTTGTCTCAGATTTAGGGTCCTGCTGATCGACCGACTGCAGGAAACAGGTTTAATATGTTGTCATGGTGACGTAAACACAGGCTCAAAACAACCTGACCTGAGGGCCCTGCAGGGGGCGCTAACTACCACCATAACTCATCCATCATCTGGATCTGCTGCGGTCTAACACGGTCCTCCAGGAGGATCATGAGGTGTCCTTTACTGTTGCTAGGTAACAGACTGACCTCACGGTGACCTCTGTGTGACTTTCAGGAGATGCTCGGTCTGACCAAACCTGCAGCAGCTCAGGGACGAGGACCACAGGCCGCCCCCCAGCCTCTGTCCAACAGGTGAGCACGAGAATCAAAGACGTTTACGGGCCGCCAGACTCCTCGCCATCGCCCCCCTCTGACTCCTCCCCTCTGTCCTCAGGTTCCTGCAGCCCGTGCAGAAGATCGACATGAACCTCACTGACCTGTTGGGGGAGCTGCAGCGTGACCCCTGGCCCGTCACTCAGGGGAAGAGGCCTCTGCGCTCGCTGGGCGTGGCCATGTCCATCGCCGTGGGGCTGCTAGAGGTGAGGGGGAGGCGGGTCCAGCTTTAGACCAATCAGGGTCAGTTTGTGTCACACAGAGTCTGTTTTTACCCACAGTGCACCTTTCCCAACACGGGAGCCCGAATCATGACCTTCATCGGGGGGCCCGCCACCCAGGGGCCCGGCATGGTGGTGGGAGACGAGCTGAAGATCCCGATCAGGTCCTGGCACGACATCGAGAAGGACAACGCCAAGTTCATGAAGAAGGCCACCAAGGTGAGAGAGACACGTTCAGGTGTGGAGACGGCGTCCTCTGAGCGCGCTCAGACTGATGAGCTGATCTCATCGTCTCCCTGTTTTTCTCGCAGCACTACGAGTCTCTGGCGAACAGAGCGTCCACCAACGGTCACATCATCGACATCTACGCCTGCGCTCTGGACCAGACCGGCCTGCTGGAGATGAAGTGCTGCGCCAACTACACCGGGTCAGAACTCGCCGACCCGTCTGTGCGGCGGGATCCTTCTGTCCTCTCACTTCCTGTCCCTCTCTTACTTCCTGTCCCTCTCTTACTTCCTGTCCCTCTCTCACTTC